AAATTAAAAATTTAGATAGATGGGCAGGGACGAATCAAAACCGAGCTTGCAAAGAGGTATTCCAAACACTTAGACCAGTTCTTACAACAATGACATCAGTGTAAAGAAGCATGTAAGTTGAAAATCGCTCTTACAGCAATTGAGCCGTTTGGAACTGAAAGTGGAATGGAGCGTTATTACCGTGCAATAATGGAGAAGGAAGAGGGCTCGAAGGTCGACATAACACAGCAAAGCAGCTTAACAAACATGCCCCCGGTACTGTACAGCAACGATTACCAATAATAGATCGAAAATGTCCTATAGTAGCAGCACCCTTCTTTAGCGAGGGTAGAATGTCCAGGATTTCAAGCGACCGCACTATAATTCGAGCAACACTAACAACAGCGCCTAGCCACGTAAATGTGTTTGCTAAAATTTTCGATTTACTTATTTGTGATGATTTATGCCTTTTATAAAAAAAAAGCAAGAACTCTGATCAGCTGGAACTTACAGGGTCATCCAGCGCTCAGCCTGATAGCGATTATAACATTCTTTTAGTTTCACTGGTTCGCCTGATAGAGCTCACTGACAGGCTTTAAGATGTTCAGGCTTGCATTGAGCATCACCACCCTGTCTCGAACGCTATAAATTATAAAAGTTTGTAACATATAACAAAACTTTGTGTGATAAAAATATAAATAGAAATACGTGGTTCTGAATGAAAACAAGAAATTCCGGCAAATATTGGTCAGTGATGCTTCAAAAATCTATAAATTAGATCGAAAATAGAGATTTCAGTGAATCAAATTTGTTGCATTTTAGGTGACGGATTTGAGAACCTCACCACAGATTTCCGGCAGCACAATCAGTGAAACAGCGGAAGAGTCGTCAAAAGATGCGTACGCACTAGAAAGATCAGGCAGGAAATCAGCCAGATTGAAATATATTAGGCCAGCAAAGAAAAAACTCACCGCTCCACCTGCGTCCCAACACGATGAAAGCGCACGAGCAAAAAAAGCTCAGCCGCCCCAGTCAAGCTCGGCAGTTTCCAGTGAAGCCCCTGAATTGGCTCAAAAAGCACAGA